TTGAGGAGAGTATCATCAACCGCAACAGCTAACTGACTCACACTGGCAAAAGCTTGACTAATTTGGTTAACATTTTTTAGGTGTTCAGGTAACTCACTATTAGTTTTTGAGTGGATGTTCCAGTTACTCACATCAGACCATAATTTTTTTGTGTTTTTTTTGTGTGTGTATTATGTAGATCCCGAAGTTTTTTTGCCATTCTGACACACTAACAAGTAAACATAAAGCTAGCAGTCCCCTTATAATTAAAAAAAAATCTGTAACTCAGTTAATAATTAATCAATTCTATTTTTTCTTCGACTATTTAGGAGCGTTATTCACCTCCTGTGAGCACGCGGGGCCGCTTGAGCAAAAACCGTCCCGGGCCGTTTCAAAGTTGCCCATCCGCCCCTGAACTAACCCTTACTAATAACTAAATTTACAGAAAAAGTGTAAACTTACAGAAAAAGTGTTAATTTACAGAAAAAGTGTAAATTTACAGAAAAACTGTACATTTTATTTTTGGGATTAGAAAAATATAAATAAATAAAAAAGTGGTAAGGGTATGAGTTTTATTTTAAAATATTCAACGAATTTGACTTTTTTTTTTTGCAAGTATGAGTCGAGAATAAATTTATATTTATTTGGGGGATTTTAGTTGACAAACAGTGATTTTTGGGGTATTTTTGAAATCCTTTGGGGGAAATTAGTTATAACCATCTGGCAACCCTGAATGAGATTCAGTCAGAATTTGTCAAATATTGCTAAAATTATTTCGCACAGTTTAGTTTGCATTCACCCAATTACATTTATGGTTTTTTCAATTACATTCGACGGTTTCTCAATTACATTTGACTATTCTGGATTACAATTAACGCATTCTAAATTACATTTGAGTCATTTGTCTGAAATATAATAACTGCGTTTCAGCGTTTCTCAATTACAATTGAAAAAGGTGTAGAAGAAAGAAAACCCATGTCCCATAAATAATAATAACCTACTAACGTAACCTCAAATTTTGTTTACGTGAATATTTTTTTGAGACTGAAAAATAGAAAAAATTGATTGAAATGGTTAGATGCTTTCCTGTATAAAATATGATGATAGTAGTGTCATGCAAGCAGACATCCATGTCCCATTATGCGTTTCTCTTTTCTCTTTTTTGTAATTTGCATTCATTTCACTTCTTTTTCTTTTTCTGGCGAGTAAATGCAATAACATAAACCTTCTGCATTCTCAGATGGATTCTAATTAAAAATTAAATCGAAAAGTAGTTAGTTGCTGGTTGCTGTCATCTTGCATACCGGCGGGAGAGAAGAAGTGGAGATTTGGAGATTGATAGGTAAAATCCTGTTCGACCTGTTCCTAATTATCCTAATAACCCTACTCTACATTTCCGCAACTTGCGCTTTGCGGTTAGGGATGTGTGATGTTCATCGATTATTGAAAAACATCGATGTTTAATACCCGATGTTTCGATGTTTCAAATTTTAAAACATCGATGTTATCATCGATGTTGGTTGTAAAAATCGACAATAAGAAAAGGGTTCAAAGATAACTTTTATTTTGAACCATATATGTAATTTCCACGTTTCTCATTAGTTTGAAGATTTGAAAATATCACTTTACTTTTAAAGCAGGCCGAAAGTGATAGTTCTCCTGTCACTGTCGGCCTGATAAATTGTTCTTTCACACCTAAACATAAATCCAGGTGCAATGTTTGTATTTAGAAGTAGATGTCACATGTGCTGCACATTGCACATGTGTTAATATTGTTGAAATTTCATAAGATGCCAATGTCAAAGTGAGAGTGTCAGTCGAAATTCCAGTTTGTCATATTTTTGTCTTAATTTTTCATTAATTAATGGTTCAAAATAAAATAGTATACCTACATATTTCGGTGGAAATAAAGTTTTCACATATATTGTCTCGAGAATTGCTTGTATCTGTATTCCGACAATAATGAAACACTTTTCGCCTCCGCATGTAATATACTATTTTTCATTTTATTATTAAAAGTTCTGTAAAAATAGAAATTTTTCATGTTTTCTCTAAGTTACCCTCAAAACATCGATGTTTGTAAAATATCGATGTTTTCACTTCGATACATCGGTTGCATCGATGTTGAAGTATCGATGTCCAACATCGACATCTGTGCTCGATGTCGCATCCCTATTTGCGGTGCGGCGAACTTGAGGTAGGATAATCTTTATTTTTATTTTTAATTATTAAATGGGGCAGATCGCTACACCAAGACCGACACGCAATATGTAGGCGGTGGTCCGCGGGACGACCTGTGCCCCTCAAAAAATTCAGACTAGTATATCGCTAGCATGTAAGCCGAGCGTTACCAAGGCTTGAATATTTTCCTTACTCATTAGTTTAAGGCACGAATTTGATCCAGTAAAAGTTTCCAGGTCAATTCGGGTTCGATCCCGGCTGTGGGCACGTGCTGCAAGTGGTGACATCTCCCGAAAAAGAAACGTTCGCCATAGCGAAAGAAAACGATCTTCAGTCCAAGTTGGCGAAGGCTTTCATGAACGAATTTTGGCCAATGAGAATGAGTGAATGAGCGTCCTCATATTTGATTATTTTGGTCTGACGTCTGACTCAAAAAAAAAAGTTCATCGAAGGTATAGCAAGTAGCTATATACCAACGTTTTTATTTTGTTTCACTTCATAAATTTAAAATGTACTCAGTACTCACACATTGTCATCATTAAGTCAAGAAAAAAATAATTACAAATATACTGCATAATTCGTATTACGAGATACCTACTGGGTTTTAAGTATAGTCCCCAGTACATCGAACCTAAAATTTTGTAACTCATGTACACGCCAAACTTCCTGAGCGGCTTCATAACACCAAGTCGGACAATATTTTTCATATCTCCACCCTGGGCGATGGGACATTGCCGCGCTAGCTCTTCGTGAAGTTGTCGTTCTGACGTCCCTAAGGAAGTTGATACATGTACGTGTAGTTTCAATGCAAATCGACTGCTTTTTACATTACATTAACGATATCACATTTGTCGGACAAAAACCATGTGGCTTTGGGGAAGGTCCGACGCCATCAACATGTCGCTGTGGCGTCCCTGAGGAAGTTGATACATGTACGTGTGGTTTTGATGCCAATCGACTGTTTTCTATGTTACATTATTGATATCACATAGGTCGGACAAAAATCACGTGGCTTTGGGGGGGGTCCGACGCCCCCAACATGTCGCTGTGACGTCCCTAAGGAAGTTGACACATGTATGTCCGACAAAAATAATTATGAATAACGATGTATTTTTAAAACATGTGCAGTAAATGTCGGACAAATAAAATGAGTATTAAAGTCAGTCGGACAACAAAAGTCGTTTTGATCAATTTCTGCCGAAATTCAGGATCTTCACTCCTGAGATTGCACAAAAAACACGACTGAATATCCATTCTTTCTCACACGCGTGGTTTTGAATGACCGTTTACTGAATAATTTCCGTAAATGCTCGGAGAACTATCAAAAAAACAGATTAGGGAATATGACACAGGGCCCCACAGGTATTTGACAAAGTAGGTAAATAATAAACTGACTAATATGCATGTTGCGGTAAGGCAAACTAATTTTAATTTTTTCATTGATTGTCTAAAATTTCTTGTCCGACAAATGTGATATCGTTAATGTAATGTAAAAAACTGTCGATTGGTATTAAAAACACACGTCCATGTATCAACTTCCTTAGGGACGCCACAGCGACATGTTGAGAGCGTCGGACCCCCCCGAAGCCACGTGATTTTTGTCCGACATATATGATATCGTTAATGTAATACAAAAAACAGTCGATTGGCATTAAAACTACACGTACATGTATCAACTTCCTTAGGGACGCCACAGCGACATGTTGGGGGTGTCGGACCTTCCCTAAAGCCGCATGGTTTTTGTCCGACAAATGTGATATCGTTAATGTAATGTAAAAAACAATCGATTGGCATTGAAACTACACGTACATGTATCAACTTCCTTAGGGACGTCAGAACGACAACTTCACGAAGAGCTAGCGCAGCAATGTCCCATCGCCCAGGGTGGAGACATGAAAAATATTGTCCGACTTGGTGTTATGAAGCCGCTCAGGAAGTTGGGCGTGTACATGAGTTACAAAATTTCAAGATCGATGTACTGGGGACTAGTAATGGAACGTCTCAATTTAGAACGTCAATAGATAGAAGTTCCATACTTAAAACTCACCCTGTATAATACATGATGCATAAGCATGAGATATTGAACTGGCACAATTATTATTTATCAAGTAGGCAAGACAGTAAAATGCATTTTCCCGGAAAAGCTTCTTAACATAACATGCCAATGTGATATAGGCTTCAATAGGCCCTGCACTTAAACTTGTATTTGGCCGATTTATTTTCAAATGAAATTTTTCAAATACCTACATACTTAATCTGAGGGAGCGACGAAAGGGACGTAAAGGAAACACATTTTTTTCTTTAGATTTCAATAGAAAAATCTACCAGAAGGTATCATTTGGTCTTTGGAACAAATTTAGACCAATTTTTGGTTTTAAATGTAAATTTGAATCAAAAATGCAGTTCTGCATGGAGCTGTATTATTATTTCCTCCAATTTTGTTTGTTTTATTGTTAAACGCAAACTTTGAAACATTTTGGACTACTTGGGTATAAATTTGAACCAAAATTACAATGAGGCTATGATTTATTTGCTCCAATTTGAGTCGTTTTGCTAAACGCGAATTTTCAAACATTTAAGACTACATCCAATAGATTTTGATTATACAGAAGCGAAAAAGGCTATTAGATATCAAAACTTTATTATTTTTAAAAAAAATCAGAAGCACTAAACTATTCAATTGCATTAAGGTGCTTCTATATACTTGCGAATCGCGAATAATGATCCTATAGGTTGATTTTAGATAAGTCAAGCAGCGAGAAGCTAATTATTATAGGATTATTATTCGCTTTTCGCAATTATATGAACCAACCTTAAGACGCATTCCAACTTGAACAGGCTTGTCTCGTATCAAATCTGTTTTTATTTTCTATATATCAATTACAATCAATCTTTTGTAGACAATTTAATATGAATCAATTCTCTAATCTTTCGTAGATATAAACATAGCCCAAGTCCTTCGGCGGATGTTCGGACAGAGCCACTTTACTATCGTTGAAAATGACCCATTGGCCCTCCTTTAAAATATGGGCGACATAATGGCCTGCCATCGTCGACGTGCCCATGTGTGAAATGAAAGCTATCAATTTGTATTCTAAAAAGAAAATATTTGTTATTAAATTAAATTGGCATAAGTGGTTACTAAACATAACTTTTTCTGAATGGAATAGAATAGAGGCACATAATATTTTGTATATCAAATTTTTAAAAATGACCAGACAAATGAAGAAGAAAAACTTACTTCCTTCTCCATCCCTAAACTTTAAATTTTGTTGCGAATTTACAGTGGTAGATCCTGCGTTGCTTTCCTCAGTATCCATGTCGTCGACATGTGAAAATATCCAATCCATCGCTCTTTCTACGTTGTTATCAGTATTCTTGAGGGCTTTAGTTGCCTGTTCGGCAGTAAATCCCATCGCGATGATAGTTTCTAGAGCTACTGCATTCGGAACGAAAGCGGAAGCGGATTCTGTTCCTAAAGAGATTTTATTAGCAACAAAGATGCAAAAGACGTTCAATATTAGAGCATAGACATAAAAAAATTGATCAGTTATTGATCTATAAGTTGCTCAGAGGTTACCTGATTTGCTCTGAGCTGCTCTCGGATGTAAACTTCAAGGTCCCAACTAGGAATCTTAGAGATGTTCGCTGTTTTTCATTGGAAAGACATCGCATCTCATAATGCCAACATACGACCATTAATCGGGCTATGTATGTCAACAAGATACAAATAGACATTTTTACTGCGTCATTGCAACAAATAATTATTGTGATATTGCTCACATGTGTTTTTATTTTCTCATAGGTTTTTATTATGAATTTTGCCGTTTTACTCTGTAATCTGTTTTGTTGTCTTTTATTTTAGAATAATTTCTTGTACTTTTTATTTATAATTTGTTATTATTTTTAAGTATTAGTATTATAATCATTGTAAAAATTGCTCGTTGAAATTGTTAAATAAACACATACATACCCTCCAACATTGATAAATGCTCAAAAATTGTATACCAACTTTCTCAAGCTTGTTGCTCATAGGAAACAACTGTTTCCAAGTAACAAGCATTCGAAATTTGTTATAAATTTTTTTTGAACTATTATCAATGTCCTTGGGTTATTAATACTGAAAATTAGTTCAGAAACTGTGCAACTAAAAATAAAAATCGACGTGTCCGAGATTTACCTTGAAAATGATTACCCAATTTTTCATTGAATTTATTTCAACCTATTCGAGCTCACAGTGCCACTTTTCAAAGTGGAGCAAAAATACAGAGCTGTTATGCACTTAGCATTGATACCTACCAGGTGGAATGAATGGATCAGCAAAATCGGAATCCGCGATGTGTTCCATCATCCAGGCGGTGGCTTCTTCCAAGCCGGAGTTGTGGGTTTGGTGTATAGCCCGTTTACAGGCTTCAAGAGGGAAACCTAAACAAAAATCCATGTAAGAAGATAAAAGAATGGTTTGCAGAAAATATTTTTCAAAATGTATTATGTATACATATAATACATAAGTTCTTTTTTGATTAAAATGTATAGAAATAACAATTAAAGAAAAAAATTGCTTACCCATATCTTGAAGTTGCTCCAGGATAGCCTGATCAAATTTGGGCTCGGGAACTTGTTGTGCTAACTCGGGCAAGAGTTCTTCCTCGGGTTGCGGCCCTCTGCCTCTCAATAGCGATATATCGAGAGTATCGGGCATTTCTATGGACACATCCAATTTAATGGGAACCCAATCTTCTCTCAATGTGAACTTCTTCAGTTGTATTGCTAAGTAATCTGGGAATGTACTTAGCCGAGTTGTCCTGAAAATGTTTTCAACATGCCATTAGTGAACAAAAATGTCTTTGTTTCAAATCTTGGAATATCGCCTTGGAATATTTAAACAGGGCAAATTACTATAAAAAATTGGAGGTTTTTATATTATAACCTCTTAATTTACTGCAAAATGGATTATTGAACGAAAAAGCTAAATCAAATAAAACATACTTCCTGGCCATCACACTCCCATTCATTGCCGAACTAAAAAAGTTATTGATAACTTCTGATTGAGTCAAAGACTCTAAACACGAGAAAAACTTGATTTTGGGTCTAACAATAGACGCAGGGTCCAATTTTTTGCCTTGAGCTTCTGCTTCTTGTTGCTGAGCCTTATAAGCTGCAACCTACAAATTTATGAAAGAAACCTGAAATTATCCTTGAAAAATAAAAAAATTACTTCTTCTTTGTTGATTGCTGCATCCATTGGAATATTTAGACTTAAACAAAGTTCACTGCGAGTCAAATATTTCACTTTTTCACTTTGGCTACATTGAAATCTTTCTTCTACTTCAAATTTAAAACAATCTCCGGGATTTGTCGTATTTACATTGTGCCTTTCAAGTAAAGTAAAGATATGGAGTAAAAATTCTTGAACATCCTGAAAAGAAAATGATAAACCTTACTGGTTTTGGTAAGGGCGATATGAAGAGAGTTTAGGCATATTGAAAGAACCCAGAATAGGGAGAAAAAGTTTATTCTGAAAATACTAACCTGTTGTTTTTTTGTTGAAAATTCCGGATGACCTTTTCCTACAACAGTTTTGAACATCAGAGGAGTGATACCAGATGGATCAGCATCAACCGGTGAACCTGCAGGAGGAGGAATTGAGTATTTTCCTGACAGTAATCCCACTCCTATTTTCGCCCTGATAAAAAATGTAGGATGATAAAACTGAAATTTTTCTGAAAAGTAGCAGATATCAGTAGATGCCTTAAAAATGTTTGTTCTGACACATTTTCAAAAAATCTGCCTGATACATTCCAAGATTTAATTATTGTTAGTTGAAAGTTGAAACACATTTCAAGTCCCCATTTTAAATAGTTGACATTCAGACAAATCACTTATTATGAAATTTGTTTACATTTAAATACTAAATACTTTAATTAAAACTGTGTCCAATACCTAATTCATACTTACATTTGAGTATTGAAATCTTCAGCAGGATCAGTTGGTGCACGTTGAAATATTCCTTCGCTTCCATCATAGTATTTATGAATAAAATCTGGTATCCTACGAAACAAGAGAAATGTGATTTTTAATTTAAAAAAAAATGATTGATAAGTTTTCACCTGAACAGAGCCTGCATAACGCTATTAAGGTAACAAGAGTTGCCCATATTTTGCATACCAGTATACCCTGGACCGTAAATAGGTTTCAACTGGCCGCCGCTTTCACACAACATTGCCCATTCGTTTGATTTTTTATTTAGTTCTAGTTCCAATTCTACCATAGACTTTTCGGTTTTTTCCATTTCGGCAATATTTATACCTAAAAATAATCTGCATAAAATATAAATTGGGTGTATGTATTTATATACAGGGAACATTGCTGGGGCACTAAACACACACTTTCTATTTTGCAGGTGTGAAAGATTTTCTCATTTTTTCATTATATCCATTGAAATCTTGTAGCGATATTTTCAATAGTAAAAGAAAACTCACTTTAACAGTAATGTCGATCTTTGATGCCGAATTTTATGTAAAGATACAACTGAAGGAGATAATACCTGTGATAAAACTTCAACTTTAAACACAGCCAAAAACGAGCTTCAGGGTATATTTTCATACCCATCAAGTTTTTTTCTCATGTAACTTACCCCAGTGCATTAGATGTTGAGCCAATAAAGGATCCTCGACCATGTCGTCTTCACTATAACTGAAAACATCGGCTTTTCCATCTTTGGTAATTGTTCCTAGAGAAGTTAAAACATTAGTAAAATATTTAAACTTATATTGTATAAGTATTTACATACCTAATTTGACTGCAAGAGGATAATTTGTCCGACTATAATGCTCCACTGCGTGGTTGTTGCCCCCCGAACCATCGAAAAATTTTCGTCCACATAGGATAGAACCATCACTCAAATTTAGCCAAAGGTTTTCAGTTTTATCGCATTTTTCGCATTTCCATCCTGAAGAAATAATAATGAATTACTTATCCTAATGCTAACAATTCAGTGGTTGATTTATCTTAATTCTTCAACACTAACATCTTTACTCCTGAATTATTATAGAAGGTAAAAAAATATTCTTGAAATAATCAACCAGATAGTTCAAAACAGAAACATATAAACAATTCAATATTCACACAGAAATCACAAACCAATCAACGTATTTCATTGGTTGAAAACAGTCAGAAAACTAGTTTCAACCAATGAAATTCACTCCGACTGGTTTATGATTTTTGTGCGAACAGACCTATTACTTCACCCTATTCAAAAACCTGAAAAAAAATCCCCTTGAGCATATAAGTTAAAGAGCCATTGCAATTAATTCTTGCCTAACCGAAACTGCTTAAATTATGATTAAAAATAGGGTAAAATGGCATCTAGAAAACACAATAAATTTCCAAAGACACAATTTGCTTTCCGTCGAGTTCTTTTATCATTCAACATATACTGGGTGGGTCCAATTTAGACACTTTTAATAGGAAACATCAATTTCTGAGCAAGATACCTATCTGCCGCTAGAGGGCGTTTTATATTAACTACCTAATTCTTGTACTATGTGTAAATTCATTGGGATTCAGGCTCTGTGATGTACTCGTGGAAAAATAAATAAATATCATACCTGTCGGAGCAATTTTCTTTCCATTATCCAACTGTACCAAACTCTGGGCATGTTTTGAAACTTGAGTAGATTCCCCATCCCATGTACCACTTAGAGCTTCAAGTTCTGCTAATTTACTGGCAGACGGAAGATCCAATAAAGATTTTACTGATAGTTTGACCTAAAGTAGAATAGCTTAAATATATTAAGTAACATACATGCTTTCTGCAAACACTCTGAGGTACTATTTTTGATCGATCTTGCCAATATTTTCAGTTAAGCTGCTCTGATAATACACTTCTTCAAGCAAGCCTTAAAGATTAATTTCAGATACATTTTAATTTGCATTTATTTTGATCTCTCATTTGCTTATACCTTTGTTTGATTTTTGATTTTTTTCATTTTGAACTTGAAAAAACTGCATAGACGAATCGGGTTCAGCTACTTACCAATTCTGGTAAATCCTCATTAGGCCAGTCGATGCTGGTATACGATGGTAAAATAGTGATTTTATAGAAATCTTCAAACTCAAATTTCTTCTTGCTCGAGTCCGGATCGAACCCTCCTTCCACTCCGATTGCTAGACGAGTAATTTTCTTTTCAGGTCCATCGCCCTGAGGTGGAGTAGATATCTATTTTTGTTAAAAATATTTTTTTTGTGAAATATGATGAGGAATTCTGTGAATAATTCTCAATATTGAATGTTGAATACAGGAAATACTTAATTATTTGCGCATCTGATTTTTTTTTCAGACTGTAATCTAGAGGAGGGGAAATGTTTGCTGATCTTGTCTATAATAGGCCACATGATGGAAATAAGGCCAATTATGATATTTTTTGGAACAGATACATGAATACAACCGAGAATGATCTAAATTTTGCAAGATTACATACAAGATTACTAATATATATAATGGGGTGGAGAGGGCAGTAAATTCGTTCCTAATTAATCCAATATCTGACAGAGAAATTCTTAAACAAATACAAAGCTTAAAAGACGGGCTAAAGGGTGGGGAAGACCGCATCTGCTCAAACATCAAAAAATACAAGGAACAACTAATAAAGCCACACAGTCACATAATTAATGTAATAAGTATAGGCTAATAACCCTAACCAGCACAGTTAGCAAAGTAATTGAGAAATGTTTTAAATATAAATTGGTAAAATTCCTAGAAAAAAATAAAATTTTGAATGATAATCAGTTTGAAGAGGGTGTGAGCACTGAGAATGCACTATGCACTCTGTAATCTGTAAGGTCACTGAAAGGATAGTAAAAAATCTAGATCAGGGCAGGAAGGTCATACCTAGCTATTTTTCTAGACCTGCAGAAGGCTTTTGATATGGTTCCACACCAAGGTTTTTTTAAGTTAATAGGTTGCTTGGTAATGGGTTAGTTTGGGTTAGTAGTAATGAGGCACCCCAGATGACGTCATACAGTTATCAGGCAACCTACCTCTCTCAAACAACCTTGGTTCCACACAGAGCTGGGCAGGGCTTGAGTGCTTTGTGCTTGAAGCACTTTGAGGACTTGAAAGCCCTGTGCTTCAAGCCCTTTTATAGATTTGTAATTGGGGCTTGCAAAGTCAATTACTTTAGAAAAGTGCTTGGTAATTTGTAATTGAAAAAAGTAATTCAAGCCCTTTCAATAAGCTTATACCTATTACTTTTAGAGGCCCTTTGAAACGGCTTGAAGCACTTTAAGAGGGCTTGAAGCACTTTTGGGAGCTTGAAGCACTTTGAAAGGGCTTGAAGCACTTTAAAAGGGCTTGAAGCACTTTGAAAGGAATTTGAAATGACCATCATTCAACCTATCCCCCACATAAAAATTTTCGATCGTATTTTGTCCTTTAATTTTTTTTTCTATTATTTGAACTTGAACCGTCTTTTTGAGCTTAGAATGGAATTTAAAAAAAAATTAATGAACTTATTATTCAAATAAATAATTAATTTATATTGGTATCCTATTTAACTTTATCACTGGATTTTTTTCACTTTTCCCCATTGAACATTTTGAAAACCTTAAAATTGAATTACCATGTACTCATGTAGTACCCCAACTACCCCAAGTACCCCAAAACTACATCTCAAAAAAAACATACTACTGCTACTCTGTGAAATGTAAAGTTCGTCTCTACTATACCAATTCTGTGTGATGAGTGTACGCGGTAGCTTATGCCACTTTGAGAATTTTATTACAAATTCAACATGCTTTAGGCATATATAAAGAGCTTCAAGCACATTTAAAGAGCTTGAAGCACATTTAAAGAGCTTGAAGCCCTTTTCAAGGCACCCCAAGCACTTTTGATGTGTTTCAAGCACTTTTCAAATCACTTTGAGGGCTTTGTGCTTGTCAAGCCCAAAGCACTTTGAGGGCTTTGTGCTTGTGAAGCACTTTTGAAAATAAAAAGGAATTTGTGCTTGAAATTGAAGCACTTTGATAGAGGGCTTAGGGCTTAGTGCTTCAAGCCCTTTTACTGAGGGCTTTGCCCAGCTCTGGTTCCACACCACATCCTACTGAGGGTACTTAACATCATGGTTATCAGGGTAATTCCCAATAATATTCCACACCACATCCTACTGAGAGTACTTAACATCATGGTTATCAGGGTAATTCCCAATAATATCATTGAATCTTATCTGGCACACAGAAAACAAAAGGTGATTATTTCTAGAGAAGAAAGTACTGAGCGAGAGGAACTTGGCTTGCCTCAGGGCACGGTACTTTTCAACATATAGGTATATTAACGGAATATTTTATATATTAAAAGATAAAAATTTATTTTGCTCTGATGTTGATGCTGGGGTGGTAATCTGTGGAAATGACTGGGATTCCCCAAAGAGAATGGCTGAACAAGCTTTAATGAAAATCAAACAATGGCTGGATAGTTCTTTGCTCTCGCTTAATTTAAGTAAAACCAAGTTTGTTGTGTTCTCCTTATCATCACGTACTTGGCCCACCTTTCAGAGTCTTATGGCGTTTTCCATTTGTCAGTCAGTGCACACTGAGTGTATCCGCATCTTTTTCTAAAAGCATGTAACATGTAAGGATAAGGATACATTTTTTTTGCACTGGTTGGACAAATGGAAATCGCTATTATAGTACACAATTCGCAGTGTCAAACAATTGACAGGACATGTAAAGTCTGTTTTTGTTTTTTTAAAAGATAAAAGTCAAACCAATGAACTAGAGCTAAAAACATAGAGAAATATAATAAACCAAGGTAAGAGTACCTGATTGATAACATGAAAGTTTGTATAGCGCTGACGTCACAGCGACGGTGGCGTCAATAGTGGCAGCCGGAACAAATACTGAAATGGCGGGAATTTTGAAATTTGACTTGAGTTGATTGCACAAAAAACTTACTTATGTTGTTCCACATCTTTTTTTCTCAAATCCGAATGAGAAAAATGATGTGGTACTCCATAAAGTTTTGTGCCATTTTTTGATGTAGATTGAAAAAAAGGCAAAATAAACACTAAAATTGTACTAGAAAGAATATATATTATAGCTAGATAGGTCAAATACCTAAAGAGTTTACAAACACAGTTATTACATCCCTTTATACATGCTTTAATATATGTACAAGCTAAGCTGGCCAAGGCCTAACATCTACATTTTATCCCTTCTGACTGAGGTCTCCTAAAACAGTAAAAAAATATGCTGTATATCACAAAACTAACATGTATACTCACTGGTTCAGTTTATCCTAGTTGTACATAATATTATAGGTACGCGATACCGAGTGCCTTAATAAAAATAACAATTTCTTCTTCTTGTTCTTTAGATTTTGTGAGTTCAAGTCTTCTTAGACGACCGCCCAATCGATTAAAAATGACAAATTTCAACACGGAAATGTCGTTATTTTAAGGTTACTTATTTGTTTTCTCGGTCACAGTTTCTATAGTTATGGATGTTTGATAGGTTTCTACAAAACAGCTAGGAAAGCTCTTTAACTCATACGGTGTCCTTGTCTTGTGAATTGGTATGACAGAGAAAGATGAAACAGAATCGAATGATCGGACTGATCTTCCGTAAGTCTCTAGCTTTCCAAAAATTCCGCAATGCGCTATGCGCAACCGGATGCGCAGTAATAGTATAACCTATTTCGGCTATACTTTTGAAGGTCTTTTTATTTTTTAATAGGGACATAAAGCTACTTGAAATAATTCGCCGGTATCGGTATCGGTATCCGTAACGCAACTAGATACGTTGACAAGCGAAAAGGCTGTTAAAGCGCTCCCTGTTCCGGTAAACGTAAACGCATCTCATAACCTAGTAATTTTCGTGTCAAAACTCCGGCGTTTTTATATAAAATTGTTATTTTTTTTGCGATAGAGAAGCACTAAACATACAAGAAACTCAAGAAAGTATAAACTAAATAAATTAAATCAACCCGGAAGAAAAGTGAGGTTATATTCATTTAAAATTTGACACATGCGTCAGGAATGTCAAGATACGTTACCGATACGGATACCGCGTGAGGGCCGTAACGTTACGTTGTACGTACGGTATCTCGGCGTCCGTATCGCTTCTGCACATGCGCAGGACGATACCGATACGGATACCGACCAAAAAATACGGAAGCTTTATGTCCCTATTGTCTATGGCTAAAAACTGAAATGCGCACACAGTGCCATATCTGCCAAAAAAATGAAACCATGAAAGACAGATGCCACAACGGGGAATGTTGTTTGTTTTTTTCTGTTGCTCACTGACATATGACCTTTTTTGAAAGTTTTGTCATATTTCCCTTCACAGGTTTCATCAATTGGAATACGTGTTGGAAGCAACTTTCGCCATTTAACATAATGAGTGCGACAAAAACAGGTATCCCCTCCGCAGCAGCCGCACTAGGCTTCACGTTCGTCCTTATGTGTTAGCATTCCAGTTTTTGGTTATAGTTCATTGAGTCAAACTGACATTATGTTGGTAATCTATACAGGGTGTATATTTTAAGTGATACCACTATTACTATATCTGAAACGGTAAGAGCTACAAGGTCCGTTAAATTATAGAAAAGTTGCCTTTTTTGATGCCCATTCAAGACTCGTTTACAGTGTTGCCAAATTCTTTTTAGTTTATGAAATACAGGGTGATTTCTAAGAAACGCCCAAAACTATTTCCTCAATTATTTTGAAAACTATTGATTTTCAAGACACAATTTAAATTTGTAAGTTTTTTAATTTTTTTCGCTCTACAACATCGTGTCATCAAATTTCAAATCCGATGTTTCGTGATTGAGCTTCCATCATCAACTTCATTTTTTTTAATACGGACCTGGTCTTTTTATGTCATTTTTACAAAGGGAATAAAAGGCACTTCCTAAAAATGACATAAAAAATCCAGGTCCGTATTTAAAAAAATGAAGTTTATGATGGTAGCTCGAATACGAAACATCGGATTTGAAATTTGATGACACCATATTGTAGAGCGAAAAAAATTTAAAAACTTTCAAATTTAAATTGTGTCTTGAAAATCAATCGTTTTCAAAATAATTGAGGAAATAGTTTTGGGCGTTTCTTAGAAATCACCCTGTATTTCATAAACTAAAAAGAATTTGGCAACACTGTAAACGAGACTTGAATGGGCATCAAAAAAGGCAACTTTTTTCTAATTTGACCGACCTTCTAGCTCTTACCGTTTCGGATATAGCAATAGTGGTATCACTTTAAATATACACCCTGTATATATAAAAATTAATGCCACTTTTCGTTGTAATTTTATAACTCAAGAACGGGCTCACCTAGCCAAACCAAATGTTTAGGCTTTGTTCGGACTATTTATTAGATGGTTTATGTGAAGTTTGCACAAAATCGGTCGAGCGGTTCTTCATTTATCACATTTTTTGTAATAAATGAATTATTCAATAAATGGAGGATCATTTTGTTAATGGGGATTTTGCTGTCAAATTGAAACTTTTTTCAGCGTTGACAGTACCAGCATGTTTTTATGTCATTAATGTGGTCATTTCATTACTTATTTTATTTATTTATGAAAAAAATTTACTGAGCCCGCATATGGCGCCATCTCTTATAACCGATACCAAGTTTATTTTGTATTTTGTATACCGTGCCATCTCTGATACCTGGAACGAAGCTCGGCATTGCAGATACAGTAGAACAATGCTGCTCAGGAACTGGAGCTATTTCGAACAGAACTATTCCACTATTCCGATCAGATAGAGTGGTGCAGAAAGAGTAGATCAGATAGAGTAGTGTAGAAAGAGTAGATCAGATAGAGTAGTGCAGATAGAGTAGAACAGATGGAGTAGTGCAGTGCATGCAGTGCAGATAGAGTGAAACAGGGCTGCACTAGAGATTTTTTTTGTTTTCTTTACATTCTTTGAACATTCCTGTGCCTGAGTTTATTTATTTGGTGGTACACTTTTCAAGAATAATGCCCACAAGCTGCCTAAAAAAGGATGATGTAAAATTTTAATTTTAGGTGACTTCTGATCCAGAGAGTAAACATTAATTTTCTTCAACCAAAGCCAAATTCACCATCGAAAAAAACTGAATTTAATTCAGCTAATTCAGATACGTTAACACAACATTTAATAGGTATATTTAATAATTCAGAGGCGGTACGAAGTTCGCCGGGTCAGCTAGTACAATGTAAAATTTTCAATGCTTTCAAATTTTTTATGTAGAAAAGGCCTGTGTTGCCAACATAGTCACTAAATTTTTGACTTGGGGAATTATCTTTTGAAAAAAACAGGCTTTTACTGTACTCAATTAATAGAACGTGAAACTAGTATAAAATATTTAGGAGGTATTTTAGATGAAAACTTTATATGGAAAGAACATGTTCATTCTGTTACCAATAAAGTCAGGAAATTGATATTTAAATTTTATGAACTCAGGCACATATTAACACTAAAACCATTTAAAACAGTATACTTTGCTCTTACCGAATCAATTATAAACTATGGGATAATAGTATGGGGAAATGCAGGAACAACAGTATTGCAAAAATTACAGGTAGCACAAAAATGGGTTATCAAAGTTATGCTTTTTAAAGGTGAAATGCACCCTACAGAGTTAGTTTACAACAGTTTACAAGGATAGCCAGCTGTTTTCACCATTTCAGTTATATATAAAATCCATTATAAGATTCATGTTGAAATACAATTATTATAAACTGAATGAAATCATGGAATAAACACAAAATTTACGACAGATAACAATGTTGCATTATAAAATCCACACCACAATATATGTCAAGATCGTATTTATTAGGTAGGGCAGGGCCTAAGGTTTACATGTTGTTTTTGAATGTTAGAACTAAACCATATTTTAAAGTTAAAGAGAAATTGAACAAAGGGATATCTGAAAATAACATTGCCATAGACAGTATAAAATGAATCACATTAAAATTTTTAGCTAAGTAAGTAATTAGGTGAATAATATGATAGAGAATATGATTAATAATGAAATGATTAAATAAAAAAATCGCTAAAAATGACAGTATATAATAATAATAATAATAGTCAACAGCATACACACAATATCCGGGACAATATCATAGATATCATTGTGTGCTGAAATTTTTTCGCAATTAGCGAGGAATAATTTAAGTTTGTAGTATATTGAAATTGTATTGGAACTTGGAACGGAACTGATTCATAAGATACATTATTTGTTATTGATTAGCTTTATTGGAGTGATAATCTTATTATAATTTTTTTTTTGTTAAAATGACTGATTGTTATTCTTAGGAATTGTAAATTTTAACATTTTTTCTTTACTTTGTTACTGAATAAGCAAATAAATAAATTGGTTTTCCAATGTGCAAGTGGCATATTGGACATGATCTCGAACATGATGTAGTATTTGTCCTTGTCCTAATGATAAGTGCCTTTCAACATTTTTGTACAAGTTATGTAGCAACAATTATTATTCGAATTATTATTATTAGATAAATGATAGAAAATAAGACTTGGTGAGCAAATTTATTGGATGAAATAAATTTATTTACCTCATGCCTTTCTCTCCTCAAATGCAAATACACAGCCTCTCCAGTCTTTTGAAAATGCCTTTCTATGTGATCCTTGCCTAGTCCAATGAAGCTAGTTAAGCTTACATATAAGCCAGTCTCGGTTTCCTAAAAAATATAGTTTTTTTTACAATTTTGGTTTACAAAACTATAATTATAATAATAACAATGGAAATAGTGGTGCACCTTGCACCTATTGAATCATGATGAGTTTTCTTTCTCTGCTTTTCATAAAAAGCTCTGGTGAACTTTCATGAACCGCGTGCTCTAAATTTTGTTATGATAATAGAATGGGAAAATGCTGGGGAAAATGATTTTAAAGAAAATTTGAATTGAATTTCATAACCCTATTTTTGGCACTTACTGGATTATCGAAGGAGTATACGCATTCGTCTTTGTGAACTTTATCCTGCTGATAGGGAATTTTGATACTTTTCAGATGCTTTTGCAGTAGATCCATCTTTCGCTGTACTTTTTTTGATAATAAATATAATAAAGCTAAATAATTTCTTTGTTTTTGTTTTCAAGAAAAAAAAAATTGAGTTGCAAAATGCAAGAGACCAGGCAAGAATGACAATTGACATTGACTTTTGTTGACGGACGATGAAATAAATAAAAAAACGAGCAACAGACGGAATTTCTGCGTGTTAGTTATAAAATTATTCTGTTGGGACTGCTCTAGAGCATGTTTTTGACTGAACTACTGAACTTGGTTGAGTATCAGCACGCTGTAATCTGAGTGCAGCCCCTGGTTTGTGGGATGCGCTATTTATCCGCTAGAGGTGCTAGATGTCATGTGAACTCGCCCTAGAAATATCCTCTCCCAAGAATAGCTTTATGGAGCTCTACTACTACTCTACTCTGTATCAGTATAAAATAGGTATAGCCGGCTAGCCAGTATAGCTAAACGTGAACGACGCTACTCTTCACGCTAAAAAAACACACCCGAACAGTCAGAGTGCCTAAAGACTACTTATTGCTACCCGCTCCTCGTATGTACAGTGTCAGTGACGTCACAGATCTCTGCGGAATTGGCGGGATTGCTCCGAAAGCGATAATCCAAACGCGGCGAGGGCATACCATTTGAAATCAATATCCGAACGTATTTCTGTTTCGATCAAACTCTTTGATCCATCGAATTTGAGGGAGAAAAAACCATCGCTCGGCGCGAGATTTGAGGTCTACTCATATCGAACACGTCAATCTCCCGAGAGCAACGTTCCGTTTTAAGCCGAACATGTTAATCCGGATCACTTCCTGATGAATCGGGTGCAGTTCTGAGGCAAAAGCCGAAAGCGCTATCAGATTGTAGGGAGTAAACAGAGCCGCTTTCCAAAGACGAATTGGTGTCTTACAACCGTAGCTTCACACTCTAGTGCTCCAAACTGCGTCACTGGAAAGCGACTCAGGTCGAAACCAGCTCTTAAATGAAGTGCACTCAAGAGATTTCTTTTTATTCAGTAGAGTATATTGAAATCAAATTTGATTCAGAATCTGCGCCGTGTTAAGGAGCAAATTGATGAAAATGGATGCTGGAACGGAAGAGCATCTGCGACCGGCATGAACGCACCCTCTGACGGATTGACACCTGTCAATTAAAAAAAAGACGTTTTTGACTTGACATTTGTTTTTTTGTTTTTGGGTGAGGTTGGCGGGGGAAAAAATCATCTGTCAAAAACAAGCCACAAACTTGTTTACGCTTTTATTGGTTTTTCAGTTTTCCCTTTTTACTGATTTGAAGTTTGGTTACTTTGATCTGAATTTGGAATGCGCTTCTTCTCGGTTTCACAAACTATCATAGTTTTATATTGCAAGTGAAAATAATACTATTTATGAGATCAAAATGCATATAAAACAGGTAAGCACAAACACTCTTCTTTACTCAACATTGCTTGACAAACATGATCATTCTGATCTTCTAATCTGGTTCTAAAAACTGCTAGCTTATATTTACTAACGCCTTTCTCCTGTCGTTTTGCTTAGCTATACATTTCAATCTCTCCATTCTCACCTTCTAATTCAGCTAGATGATGAACAGACTTTTTGGTTCGACTCCCATGAGAGTGTTTTCAAACAAAGCACAACTTTTAACCTAAATCCTATTGTTCTTCCTGAAGCGACTCATGATATTTACAACCAAATTCCCTCAGTTCTTGAATATATCTTGTCAAATCTCAATTTTGCAGTTTGCAGCAAAAAATTTAGTAGCCAACATTTTCATTTATTTGAAATGTACACTTCACAAACACCAAACTCCTCTCACAAGGTAATCACAGGTAAAATTAACTGAATAGCATTGAATAGGTCAGTGTTGTTCAAAGGGCACAATTGTGCCAAAAGTGAGCACTTTTCGCCCGCAAAATGCACGGTGGCACCACTTTGAAAAATTTGGCACGATTCACATTTATTAGATATAATCATTTTCAAATTTTGAAGATGAGAGAGACTAGAACTGGAGCACTTATTTTTTTTCACGTGTCAAATCACGTGAGATCTGTCAAATTTTGCTCAGTTTGCTCACAGTTGCAATTACCGAACCCCTTGAGCCTCTATTGTATTTTTTTGACTGTCAGTTGAGTTGTCAATATAGTGAATTTAATATATGAAATATATTATATCTTTCTCCTTTTAATCATGTGATAAAAACAAATTGGTAAAAAGTCTCTCCCATCACTTTTTATAGCGAATTCCATTGGTAAAAAAAAAATATATATATTTTTATCTCTTCTTATACAAGCTGGTAGAAAAAGACACGAACACACAGAGTGCGCACTAACCCTTCCAATGGAATTTGCTATTAAAGTGGCACTATTTGGCACTATTTGAGTGTTGCTGCAGGCACACACGAAAATTTCCCAGGAACAACCCTGGAATAGGTATTATATCCTGTTCACAATCCGATGTCCACAAGTGCAGGTAAATTTATCACCTTTCCCTATCAAATAGCATTGAAAGGTGATAAATTTTACCTGTACCTGTGGACATCAGATTGTGAACGGATAATATGTATATTACATGGTATATTAGAACAAGAAAGGAGCAGCAAAAAAAACACATCATAATTAGTGATGGTAAATTTCCAGGAATTTATTTTTTGAGAATATTCCTTGGAAATATTCCCAAGAATGTTTCCAAAGTGGGAATTTTCTGCTTTTAGTGAAAACCCCTATTTATATGAGCAGAGTTGTAGAGTAATGTGTGAAATGTGCAATAAAACATTTATTTGTTGATAAGTCAACAGCTTTATTTATTTCTTTGGAAGGAACAAACCCTGTATGTACATGTTATCGTCGGGGTTATCGTCATTCTGTTCGGATCCAGAAGAATCACCACTCGAACTCTCAATTTCTTGTTGTTTGTTGTTTACACTCACCAAATAGTGCGGTTTTAATATTCAAACTCCACACAAAGTCAAAATAAACATTCCAGCGCCACCAGCGTGAATAAACTCACTTAAAAAATAAATTCCCCGTAATAGTCTGGGAGACGACCGCATTTTTTCTACTCCGATCGAGTTATGTATTGACACTATTATCAATATATCGTATTATGTGCATCTATTAACCGGTATTCCTGCCTGAGAGCAAATGCTGACGGAAATATCTTTTAACAAATTATTAACAAATTGAAAAAAACCTGACACTACCCCCATCGAGTTATGCCCTAAGGGGTAAGGGTATCAGATTAAAGGTCTCAATGTCCCCTATCTAAAAAGTCGATCCTGCCTCGTGAGAACTTGCCGGAAAAAGGTGGCAGGGCAGCTTATTGGGGCAAGGGCCCGCGGCCTCAGCTTTGACACCTATCAAGTTTTACACCACAAAACATCCCCCCTTAGAAAGGTAAGTACCGTGTTGAGAACCTGTCTATAAGTTTTCAGCGCCTCTAGTGACTGGGGGGGTCAGCTTCTGTAATTCTGGATTTATTGGCGAATGCAAAACGCAATGAGGGTTCGTTCGGTATCTTATTCGTTCCGGTGGATCGTTTGCACCATTGTTTGATTCTAGCGATTCAACACCACCACTTTAAAGTTTCTACCATTTTTTGGCATAAAATAATTGTGCCAAAAAGAAGAAACTCATAAAATCGGTAGTGTTGAAGCGCCTTCAAGGTAAAATTGACTAAGAATTAAGATGACAAATTTAGATATTTATTAAAGTTTGAAACAGAAAATATAATAGAATATGGAATTAATTACAATTATTGCGAAACAGTTGTTTTTCATGTAAGTATACATACATAGGTAGGTAATGCTAGTTAAGGTAAAAATAATGACAGTTACAAGAAGTAATGACGTACATTTAACAATAACTTGATGAAAAACTTAAATCGTAAATAAAATGACAAAAGAGGTCCTTTTCTCACAATCCAAAATCGTTGTTAATCTAACAAGTGAGGAAAGTGTTTCTGCACGTGATGGAAGTTGCACGAATGACAACAAAAAGCAGAGTTCGGACAAGCCTTTAAGTCCAGAAAATACACTTTCCGCATGTGTTAGGTAGAAAGTTTATATAGTTATACATAATATAAAGCTCATTCAAGAAACTGATTTCGCCTGGATGATATTTTTGATAATAGTCTATACCCTTTACCACTAGCTTTAAGCAAAGACAACGCCAACAACTTCTCGTCCAATGTAAATCGTCTAACTTTAGGCTTTTGGTTTTGAGTACGGACTTGACTGTATATCAATGGATTGACGTGGTCTACGAGCATTTGAAATTTAGTTTATGATGCAAGTTATTCAGCAGCAGAAACTTTGGATTTAAATGATGACAACCTTCTACTGATTCTTCTTAACTTATTGCTGGATTCTATAACTTTGGAATAAAGATATTTTTCCCTTGGGGATAGGAATTTTTGCCTAGTGACGTTAATGTTCTTTAAAATTTGGCATCGTCTCTCATGACCTGCAAAAAAAAAAATAGATCAAGATTGGAGACGAGCTTTTCGAACATTTAGCTTCTAATTTTTCTAGCATTCGACTGCAAGTTTTAGTAATTAGTAGTCTTTTATAGTAGTAGTCCTACTTGAGTTAGGATATTTTAAAATTCACCTACTCCCAACTGGGTGGTTATTCATTAAGCAATAACACTTAGGTACCTACCAATAAAAGTTTTAAGAGACAAAGTTGGTTGGTGACTTTTTCATGTTTGCAGATGTGATGGTTCCACTTGGTGTAGCAATGTCTGCCCGAATTGCAGAAGTTTCAGTAGATAAAAATTGACGACATGAAGGGCCTGGTTGATCTAAAACAGAAATTTCGTTATCAATGAATCTAACCAAAAAAGTTTGGATACACGCATTGTAGAATATGGTGTACCTGTATGTAACCAGGAATATTTTAATTATTATGTCTCCTGATAAAGGAATAAACATTTAAAAAAAAGAAATGAATAATATTAGCTTTGTTCCAACATAGCAGTAAACCGTACAATGTACCGTCACGATTCTAAGCAGTAACTAAAATTGTTATACTGAGTGGTTTCGAAACCGAGTTATTATGTTTACCTACCTATGTCAATCATAGTTGCGAAACTAATTTCTGAAGGCGTCTTAGGACTCTTCGACGAGTTTCAACTGTGTCAATCTCCACTTTTTGCCATTTTGGTGATTGTGGTTTATCAATTAACGACTCCTCACTGTTTTTGATAATTGGGGCTAAAATTAAAATTAATTTTAATGTTTCTGACCTATGCTCCTTTAAACCCGAATTCTAACACGTTGTCGTTAATCAGAACTATGGGGAGGAGTAAGTCAAAATTTAAGTACGTCTTTCTCACATATATCTAGTATTAACTTACCTTCAGGGAGATACAGCAAAAGCGCAGCATTCCATGTGAGTCCTCGTCTGGCTTTTGGATCGCCAACAATAAATTCTTGAGGAAAGTGTCTTGTTCACACTCTATAATTATTATAAGCCTTCTCGACACTTAGGCTATTTAGTAAAGGATTGCGAACTTTTATTAGCCATTGTTCCATTTTTTCGGCATCTTTTGGAAAGCGGAAATAGCTACTGTATTTGTCGCCGCACCCCGGAACACAGCATTTCTGATGCTTTTCAATTAACAAACTGGGAGAAGACATTTTGAGATAATAATTATTGATAATTGATAGGTAATTGATAATTCTAAATGTTGGGAGAAGTTCAAAATTTAAATTTTGACGACTGGAAATGACAAAATAAACTTCAAATCTTGGCGCACGGTCCGGCAGGAAAAAGAAAACTTTAATAGGTTGATTGAAGCGCCTCTAGTGATTGGAGGGGAAAGCTGAAACGACTAGACTGACGTCTCTCATAAGACTTACATTTCTAAGGGGGGATGTTTTGTGTTTTACACTGAATAATGGTCAAATTAAAGGTGTCAATAAGTTGATTTAAGGTGGGTTCGCACAGAAATCACAAACCAGTTAGAGCGAATTTCATTGGTTGGAAACAGTCAGGAAACTAGTTTCAACCAATGAAATTCACTCCTTCTGGTTTGGGATTTCTGTGCGAAGAGACCTTAAATCAACTTATTGACACCTTTAATTTGACACATCATTCAGGGCAAAACTTGATAGGTATCAAAGCTGAGACCGCTGTCCCTTGCACCAATAAGCTGCCCTGCCACCTTTTTCCGGCAAGTTCTCAAGGGGCAGGATCGACTTTTTAGATAGGGGACATCGAGACTTTTAATCTGATACCCTTCTTAGGGCATAACTCGATGGGGGTAGTGTCACGTTTTCTTCAATTTGTTAATAATTTGTTAAAAGATATTTCCGGCAGCATTTGCTCTCAGGCAGGAATACCGGTTAATAGATGCACATAATAATATATTTTGATAATAGTGTCGACACATAACTCGATCGGGGTAGGAA